TTTTTTTAATCAAATTTAAGGCACATTACATCTTCCCTGTGTTACCATGGAGACATAAATTGATAAAATGTAAGGTAATGAAATGAAACACTCCTGGCTTCCGCCTCCACCATTGCAACATCCAAAAAAGGAATTTATTGCTCTTTAACAAAAGACAGTCACCTCTCATGCGTCCAGCATTACAACAGCTCGCGAGTATCTCTGCCTTTGATTTTATGCCTTGACATGAGCACCCATAACTCTGGCCCTTTTACCAGGACTCGTGAGTTGGAGCACGTCTTCCCAAGTGCTTGTTGTCTAGAGAACAACACCCCTGGGGCAACAACTGCCTCAGCCAATCAATGCTTATGATTTCCTTGCCCTTCTGCCAGTGCCAGCAAAACAAACAAGTAAAATGTCTGACCCTGGGCAAGATTGTCAAATCGGCACCGTGGGCACAAGCTCAGCAGTCCATGCCACTTGGGACCTATGTGAGTGGGACATGAAAACCTTTTTAAGTGTTCATCATCAAATACATAGGTATGCACTGTAGACTATGTTTGTGTTTTTTGTTTTTAATGCAGAAGCGCTCTGAAAAAAGGAAAGGAAGAGGAAAAATGGAGTTAATCAAAAGGATACCAAGAACCTCTTAAAAAGCAGAGCAGGAGAACAGGTTAAAGAGAGATACATAAAGGAGAAAACAACTCAGTCATCCTTTTCCAAAATATCATGAAAAAAGCTCCAGCTGCTTCATTTACATTTAATTTTAGATTGTCATACACTTTAAGGGCAAAGCAGTACTGTGATGGTTACTTTAGTTTACCAGTGAGTTATACTGGCTTAGTTTGATGGGTAATGGGTAAATACAACCTTAGGTCAACTACAAAACATGACATATTGCAAAGTGAACAAACAAAGCACAAAGTGCTTCCATAGGATTTAAAAGGGTAAGTAACAGTCAAATGCTACTAATCAGGTGCACTCAGCTAATCCTTCAATACCAAGGAATAATTGTTCATCAGCAACTTTGATCACCTCTATAAAAGCAGAGGTTTTGGTAGTTTGCCGGCCTGCAGCGTTCAGGTGTGTGTAAACACGATGCCAAGAAGGAAATGTATCAGCGATGATCCTAAGGAAGCACTCGATGCCGCTCATCAATCCAGTAAAAATAGACGGCCATTTCCACATAATTTGAACTCCATCATTCTACAGAGTGAGGAAAATTATTCAACAGTGTAAAATATTCAAGACAGTCGCCAGGCTTCCCAGGAGTGGACATTCTAGCAAATTCACTCCAAGGTCAGAGTGTGCAATGTTCAGAGAAATGCAAATAAATAAATAAATAAATAAACAAAAATAAAGTGGAAGCATTGCCAGGAGAAAGTTTCTTCTCTCTAATAAGAAAACAGCAGCAGGGCTTAGTGTTGCAAAACTGAATATGAAAAAAACTGGACAAACTGTCCAAATGACACCTGGAACAACGTTCTTTGGACAGACACTACTAAGGTGGAGATGTCTGCTTATAATGCAGTTCTGAGAAAACCAAACTCAGCACATCAGCACAAATAGCTCACACTATCTGTCAGACATGGTGGTGGAGGGGTGATGATTTTGGTTGTTTT